ATGAAAGCATGTTCTATAAAGTTGGCCTTTTTTTCTTTTTCTGTAAAACTGCGTAAGTAATCATAACTGGAGAAGTGTTTCTCAGCTTTCACTTCTTTTCCTTTATTCCAAAATAAGATGGAGTGAGCTCACAACCAGTAGCATTTGGTAGCACTTTCCTGTCTGGCTCTCTAGGTGCATGCCAACAACAGAGCACCAGCACCCCTGAGCGAGTGGGGAGCCCCAGCAGGAAAAAGGCAGCTTCTGCATCCAGTTATCACATCAGCCCAGCATTTCCTCAGCCACCTATGAAGTCCATATTTGCCTTCCACTGCCTGTATTACAGAAATGGTTCTGCTTCTAAAGAGTTTTTTAAAAGACTCTCTTTTAAGCTGAATGCAAGTTCCAGATGTGTTTTATAAATTGCTGTTGTTGAGCAAACAGTTTGATGAGTATACATTTAAAATCAGTACTGTATGAATGAGAGGAAAAAAGGTATTTTGCAGGGCAGCTTTTTTATTTTTACCCTGCTTATCCCTCTAACAGATACCCTGCAGTCATCCGCCCTCAAACTTTGCTCGTGTGGTACTACGCTTAGTCAAGTAACTACTGCTGTACTATTCATAAAGCAGAAGTCATTTGCTCCGAGCTACTTCCATTATTCAAATCACCGAGTGCATTTTTGTACTTTTAGAATTAAAATGAAATAGAAAAATGTTTGGAAGCTTTATCTCTTCCAGCATCATTTCTAGCCTTTGCTGGCACTCAAAGCTGCAGTCAATCATTTTACATTGCAGTTATTCGTATATCCTTTGCTCTCTTGCTATTTCATTTTTATTCCAGGGTTTACTAATATGCCAACCAGCCAGCTGCTAGAATTTCTTCCAATGTTTATTTGAAAAAAATCTCACTTTCTCAGTAGAGGAGCTGTGGCTTTCAACAAAGCTCTGCTGGCAGAAACATTCCCAGCAGAAATATCTCCCCATGCTCAGAAATGAGCATTGGTTATTCGATTGTGAAAAGAAGTCGTGGCAAACAAAAATCAAACATGCTGAAGCGCAGGATGTTGGGAGCCTTTGCACGGTGCCGTCAGATCATGTATTTTACTGATGCACTTAAAATTCACTAGAAAGCTTTCTCCCCTTTCCCTCAGAAACCTTTTTGCAAATCAAAGCCAGCAATTGAGCAAAAACTTCACTGTACAGCAACTGCTACCAGCTCCACTATTAACAGACATTCCTCAAGAAGTTTATCCAAATCAGTGTTTTTACCAGTCTCAAAAGTGAAGTAAATATTCTGTTAACATTTTACTAGTGAGCAACACAAATAGCCAAGCAATTTGCAGTATCCAGCCATTTATCTCACGATTGTACGGAGTGCAGAGCCATATTCCTTCTCACATTAGGCAATTGCTATATAGATGTTTAAACTACTGTTGGTGCTGGTCTTGCTGTCCCAAAGTTTCAGACATGCTAAAAAACCTGCATCATTTCAGTAACTCACAGTTGCATACACAGAGCTGATCTTGGCCATCTCAGGACCACTGCAGGCCTAGCTGCACCACAGTCTTCTCTTGCATCTTTTTGGCTACTTGTTTGTCATATAATGTCAGCTGGGATGCAGACAATCTCCTACTGCCACTTTGGTGTATGGAATAGGGAGAGCCCAGTTTCACGAGAGAATCACAAATGCTGCAACAGAATCTTGCAGGCATATTCCAAAATCTGCTTTAACACAAATCAGTGGTAAGAACATGCTAGAATACATCTTCTCTCTGAGAAAATACATCCAGTCAAAAAAGGACAAGTTAAATCCAGCCTATAGGATCCACCTAAGCTTGATCCAGCCGTAGGTGCCTGATGGAAAGGTCAAGTGCTAATGAAAGCCAATAGCAGGTTCCAGGTCAAAGGCTGAGGTGCACAGGGATGAGGCACACCTACAAACAGCCCTGAAAGCCAAGAACATAAACATTGTCTTCTCTGCATCAAACTAAGAAGCCAAAAGAGGCTACAAGGGCCAAATGATGGAGTGGGAGAGGGGGATTCCCTCACAGGGGCCAAGCACAGGAACAAGAAACCTCAAGAGGGACCTGGCTGGAACTGCAAATATGCTCGGGAGCCCTGTAGGAAAAACTCAAGCAGCACTGTCATCAGGCTGCTAGGCCAGATGCACATACTAAAAACAAATAGAGACTGTACAGCACAGTTTATTGGCATTAATGCCCTGTCAGGTGGTTTCCAAGAAAACTGAGTCTAAATCTGTATTACCTTTCTCTTGATTTTGGGCCCAGATCTTTGCTTTACTGCTCAACTATTGAACCCTCTCAATTAGAGTGTTCTCAGGACATTTTTACCCTGCTGCTGAACTTACTTGTGTCTTCTCAGCTATTGAAGCAACTAAATTTGCATCTGACAAATATATCTTCTTAGGAAGGCTGCAAACTTCCCAGAGCTTTCTGGGATTATTTGGATAGAGCCTGGCCACACAAACAATCCAAGAAGTGAAGCAAGAGCATCTTTATAGTATCACTTAAAACTAGAAACAGGTTTCTCAATTATTTTGCACAGCTGCAAAACTTCTCCCATCCTCATTTCTGTTCTCTCAGTAAAGGAGAAACAGCATGAGCGCCGCACAGAGCAGAGCTCAAGCAATCCTCTGTGCAAACGCCTGAAGTCTAGTGGCTTAGTCTAGGGCTCTTACGTTCAAACACACTTACGAATAAGCAAGTCCTGCAAAGCAATCCACTGGAGCTGATGCAGGGCGCCAGGAAACACGAGCGTCCTTTTACCAACAGATCCGTATAGACAATTTCCTGCAAGTTAAATAAATCAGTTGCACACGGCTTTAAAGAGCATTAGTTTATTATCTACTCTCCATGTGTTACTCAGAAACAGTCTAATTATATACAAAAATTTGGAATGTCGAATAAATGCTGATCAATAAAAACATTTCATAGCTGTTGACAAGGGAATATTTCTAAACAAAAACAAAAATCATAAAGGTTTAACTGTGTGTTGCTTATTGCTATGTTTGTGTTCATAGAATGCTTTCAAGTATATACACATTTTTTAACTCCAGTCCAAAAAAGAAAGTCAGAAAAATATTTACACAATAAATATGTGGGAGATTTCATCTTTTCACTGTATCAGTTGAACTGATTCTTTAATGAACTAGTAAGAATCAAAAGAATTAACAGATTGCATCAACTCATTGCCATGCCGCGTAACTTATGCTGCTGATGGATTTTATTCTATTGCAGATGTAGGTTAAGATGCATTCCAAATGAAAAGTGCTGATACGGTTTCTCCTCCAGCACAACCCTGGCTGGACTGCTCGAGGAGATCTCTTCCTCCCACACTGCAGAATCGTCTAGATTAACATTTATTTATTTACCTTTACACACAGACACTGAAGGAACACACACATTTCCACCCATTACAAACTCCAAGGTTTCGTGAGTAAAATCAGCATAATCTATGTTTTATTTGATGGTTAATTTGCTAATTTACTGAAGACAAACTTTGGCCAAGTATTTCCACAAGAAGTGCTAAACTCTTTGCTGTAAATCTCTTCTTCACTTCTACTGTAGCCAAACAATTTTTGGTAGCATTTTCCTCTGATACACAACTCTGCAAACTAAGTGCCACAGTATCGTTTACAACTTCTGTTAACATTAAAGCAAAGCAGCATACAGTGTAATTCCTCAGGGATGTTTTTAAAACGTACTGCAAGATGTATACAGTGTCCACCCAAGATCAGTAAAGAATCAGTTCTGCTTTCCAAACTCTTCTCTTCCCCAAGATACAGGTTAAGTGTAATAGCAAGTTAATTCAGGACTTGTCTGAATGCATTCCCTTTACAAGGCAGTGTGTGATAAAAGTAACACGATCAGGAGTAATGAAAACGTGATGTGAACATTTTGCATTTTCAATAAAAAAATATAAACCAAGGACATCTTAGAAGGGGAATACTGAAGCCTGCCATTATATAGCTATGTTTGTCATTCTTTTCTTTAGAGATTAACAGCACACAGAAAATAAGTGGATTTTATCAAAATACAGCACATTTCTGCTAATATATCAAAAAAATCATTTCCTATGTAAATATTACTGAAAATCAACTAAAAAGAATTAAAATATACAAAGAGTTGTTAAAGGGTTTCAATTAAAATTAGAACTATACACAGTACAATAAGCAATAGTTAACATCTTTGAAAGAAGTGCAATAATATTGGAGTTCACTTAAAAAGTACTGCCTGGTTCTTTACCGCTAGCTGTGGAGAATTCCTTTCTCTTCCAGCTCATTTTGCCCACACTAAAGGAGGCTGGTGTTTTTTGCTAGCTTTATTCAAAGCATTTATTTTTGTACACGTGGGTTGAAAAAAAAGCAACTTACACCAAGTTTTGAGCTACCAACTTATTTGTAATAAAAAAAGAACTGCAATAACTAAATATTGCTCCAATGACAGGCTAATCATTAGCCTTGATTAAAAACAGTTATTGGTCTTCTATGGCACTTTTCCCTGGTCCATAACAACCGTGTATTAATTATCGCTGCAGATCATGCAGTCTCTATTCAATTACAAAGGAGAAAGAGAAAAATAAAATTAATGTTTCTGGTAAACAAAATTAATAAAAGCATAATTGGATATTTTACACAGTAATAAGGAACAAAGGCAGCCTGTGGTAAATCACTATTATATGAACACAGTTAGAAACCCTTTAATGACTCTGAAGCGTCGAGTTCACATTTCAAGTTACCTGTAGGAAGAGCCCTTGGAAGAGGCCTCGTTCCGGCCGGCGGGCAGCAGAGCCGCCCTCCCCGCCGCGCGTCCCGTCCCCGGCACCGCTCCCAGTTTCACCACTTGCTTTGGTTACCTAGCTCCACGCACTCCGCTTCCTTTGCGCCTCGCAAGGCCCTGCAAGGGCCCGGCAAAACCAGCAGGGTCAGCACCCTCCTTTGCCTCATTCGCTTTGTGGTTTCTCATGTAAATTCCAGGCAACAATCTCAAAAACTGGCCATTTCAGTTTCATTTTAAAAGTCTGTAAGATTAAAATGGAGTACTTTTTATAAAGATAAAAGCATCACCATTTGCACAACACTGGGGATTTCCACAGCAGAGAAGAATCTCTGGGCACATTTCCACAGTACAGTTGAAAAAAATCATGTATGCAAAAACAACTAAACTTCCATTGCATGTGGCAAATGAATATTCAATGACTACCTTAAGAACAAATCCTGTAGAAGATAACAAGTTCATAATTATAGTCTTCCTAAAAACACCGTAAGCTTTTATTGCGTTTTCTATTGGTAGATGTACATGCCAAAACTACACAATTTCTCATCACTCTTGATTCCAGATTTAGATAGCAAATAGTTGTTTCACCCAGCCTTTATTCTGTCCAACCAGCACCACCTTCCATCTACCCATTCATCTGTACAACGTGCACATAGCAAAGCCAACGTTTCTTATCTCCTGCCCACATCTACAGAAGTGGTTTCGCTAACACATTAATATCTGGTGAATAAAAATAAAGGCAATAAACAGCTACAGGACAGACAGCCCTGCCATCTGTCCATGGGCTACAACCTCGGCTTCTCCAAGCCTTGCACAAAGTTTAGTAATGTGTATGAATTATCCAAAAATAAACCTACCATCTGTACAAAAAACAACACAGGTTTGTTCTTGGAGGAGTGATCCTTACGTTGCTATAATGCTTAAAAACAAGTTTATTCACCATATGCATTTCCAAAATGATTTCCTGTACGTTCTATACAGTGGTTTTTCCCCCTTTAACCACAAGTTCAATATTTCATCTCCTGTACAAATTTTGATCATAGTTCAAGTCCCTTTCATATATAAAAATAGTCAAAATATTCAGTTCCCCATAAGTCCTTTGATGAACCTTGTTGACTTTTTCCCCATATCCACAGTATTTATGAAGAAACCTCTCGCACAATGATGAGCTCCACTGCATTCTGAAAAGTCTTTAGCAAAGAAACTGCTTGTCCATGATCAATATTGATGAAGCTGTAGCCATTAGCCTAGAAAGAATTGAAAGCAGCAGTTTCAATATTTTATGGTAGTTTATTGAAGCTTAAACTGTGATTAAAGTAACTGCAAATGAATTAATGCAGGCAATAAAATACTGCACATCTGCATATTAAGATGTTATTAATAAGTAGAGGGTAGTCATTTTTTTAGTAGATGAGTATTATTACTGATGTAGTAGTATTGGTTATACAAGAAATGACACTGTTCTGTGAACTGCGGAACAAATTTGCCCCAGTGATACTAAATACTTGTGCAAATAACTTCGAATTCCTGTTACAGTGTGGAGGTCTGGAACTTTCTCCCCTGTGGAGGGCTACCCCAGTAAGAGAACCAGGACCCGAGGCTGCCTTTCTCATTCCACTAATAAGAAAGAACACACACAGTGTTATTTAATTATCCTGAAATATATTTTAGTTGGAAAAGCCTGAATTTAGTTCAAGTTTTTAGTGAAGTTTTTCTCTTTTTTCTTTACATACTAGCTGGCTTTTTCTTGTCGCAGGCAGTATGCTGTGTTTTCAGTCTGCTTTTTTTCAAAAACTTCATGCCCGCTTGCAATTTGAGCTATTAACTATTCTTGAGAGAAGCTGAAATGCAGCAAGTCCATCTCTCTCAGCATCCTCTGACTGGGAATGTGGTGAGTAATTTCACGGCCAGATCTCCCAGGCTCCCACTCGAGGGTGGCTACTGCGCTTCGGAATGTCCTGTTGCCGTGATTGCTCCCGCTCTGCATCCCGCCCGCGGCAGCGCCCGAGGCCACGGCGGCCTCACGGACCTGCTCATGAGCAGCCGCCACCTCCACACTACTTCTAAAACACAATCCCAATGTGACTGGCACCAGTACCCAGGCTGTTTCATTAGACAACAACTGTACCTGAATGATTTTATCTCCAGGCTGCAATAGCTTAGATGCTGGTCCTTCGGGTTGCACTCTTGTTACAAATATACCCTTGAAAAACAGGTGGAAAACATTTGGACAGTTTATTTCACAAGCAGCACAAGTTGTTAGCATGACACTGAGCATTATTTCAAATTTCCATTTCAAGTAGACCATGTAATACTAGTTTACAGATCTGTTAGCTTTGGGACTGCATCTGTTTTTGACATTAAGTCTAGAACCACTGAAAATAAGGTTGTAGGCTAAATCACACTTTCTTTTAGAGATTTCCTAAATCTCCTAATTCACTTACCTGGAATCTATTGCCTTATACTTTTAAAACTGTATATATTAAAAACAACAGTCACATGGATTTTTGGTGTGTTTTAAAACACTGAAAACATTTGTTCATCAGAAGGATTTTTAAAAGATGCATTAGTATAAAATACTCACATCATCTTCAGGTCTGAACGGATTCCCTCTCCCGCCAACTCCTCCCGATATACTAAATCCAAGCTCAGGATCCTTGTCGATTCTCACTCGAATCTGAATGTTAAAACCAAAGTTAGAAACACCAGCTGAAAACTTGCACATGAAGCTGATGCAGCTACTAGCAATTCAGATGAAGAAAAATTTTAAAAAATCATGCCCAACTTGTTCTTTCCTTGTTCCTTTCAGATGAATTTTATCAAATCTGGCTCCTAGTCCACAGGAGTTCCACACAGCTAACGTCCCCCTCTGCTCTTGCCAGAAGAGTGGGCTATTACTTATCTTGCACAAAACTTGGAGATTCTCATTCTACTAGACTATGAAAACAAAGAGCTCCAAATGTTGTACAAATAGAAGTACTGCAGAGGAAACAGCCTGTCTCTAGGAGCTGAAAGAACAGTGCACGTGTTGAAAGGACCATTAAAGAGGTATGTGAACTTGCCACAGGCAAAACTGATTTTTTTTACGTTATTACTTCAATGCTGAGTTGGTGATTGATAAATGTAGTGGTGAAGCACTTTATCTCAATAAAGAGGCCAAAATGAAGATTTCTGATACGTTCTTAGAAAAAGAACACACCACATATACGTCTCAGAGCACAGCAAACAGAAGAGCTCATAACCAGAAGGGATGTGATTCCAGCAGCACAAGTGAGCTGCGGTCCAGCTGTCTGCTGTGGGAGTTCAATTCCTAACCACATTGAGTCCCCGGCTGCAGAGCAGCAGGCATGACCAAAAGCCAATTGTGCACTGCTACCAACAGACAGAAGTCAGGCACTCCGGTTGCCTGTTCTCCTTACCTCCTGCTTGACCATGTCGTGGCTCTGTCTGGGAGAACACTGGGATGGCACGTAGGGAGGCTGGTGGGCAACCTTCAACATCAGGTAGTCAATTAATTGCTCTCTAGATGGGTGTCTCGCTACTGATGCTTGAGGAGGGAGATGATGGACTTGGCTGTAGTTGGCCTGTGGTCTTTGAACCTGGCACATTTGTCCATTTGTCAAAGGTACCTGAATAAAACATGAATACTCTTAAACCACAATTTATGCACAGCAAGGCCCAAATCTTCCTTAATTACTTCAATACTTCTCGTGCTCAACTGCTTTTAATTTCAGGAGCATTGCTAGAATTACTGTTCTGGAGCATGTTTGGTTGCACTCCATTTGCATTCCAGTCCTCAGCCTTGCTGAGGAACCACCCCCTCACACACGCACATAGTTCACAACCTGTTGCTCCAAAAAGAGAAAGAGGAAATGCCATTTCCATTATGCCACCTTAAATATTGGTATGGAAGAGTCAAAGCCATTTTATATTTTGAATAACGCCTGGTCCCAGCTGCTCTCTTCTGGCAGATGGTTCTGTTGATGGCAGTACAGGCCCCTCGTGGCGACGCATAGCTCGTTACCTGCATGGCCACTTTCTTCATGCTGTCTGGAGGAACATCTTTGAGGCTAAGTGTGGCACATGAGTAATTCTGCTGTCCCGAAAGGAAAACCTCATCTGGGCAGTGCTCCCCTGGAGCACAGGCCTGGGGATGCTGTAAACAGAACGAAGAAGTAAAGAATGGGTTTATTTGTTTTTAAAGACAGTAAAAACATTTTAAAGACTTCATTCATCTATCTCTTATATGAAAGATTGCAATTTTTTAATGTAGAAAATGTAAACCTTGCCAGCCAAGACCTGGCACTCACGAAATGTTGTTGGACATTTACATTAATTTACAACTGAACAGGGTTTTGAAGAAAACCTTTGATGACCAACACATGGTTAAAGAAAGCTAGTAAATGGTAAAGGCTCCTAGTAACCCTGTGGATCCTTGAATGGGAAGTCAACCATTGGCACTTGTGTTACTCGCTATGGATACTGTTGCGCAGGATTAAAGAATTGTTTCCTAATTTCTTACAAATCAAAATATTTTATTGAATGCCCCAAATGTCTTACAATATAGGTTATACCATCAGAATTTGCTCATGGGGAAAAAAATATACTAACATTTTTGTTCAAACCTGTATCAGCCTAGGTTAAATTCAGAATAACACTCTTTTTTCCACAATATGCAGGAGGACATAAGCACACATTTCTAGAGGCTCAATCATACATGAGGGCCAATTAGCAAACTATTTCATGGCACTACATGGAGAAGCCTCGCAGCGAGGCGAGGCAGTTCCAGTGCCGGGTGCCCACGAAGGCGCCCAGCACGGCTATGGCCACGGCTGGGGTGGGTGCCGGAACAGCGTGTGCGCACGAAGGGCGCGCGGCCGCCCCGCGGGTACTCACTCGAGCAACGTGCACAGCAGCAGCTCTTCCGTCCGCAACACTACCCTGGCTGCCATGCAGGTCCCTAGAGCTGCCAGGGGCAAAGCTGCTAACCGCAGCCAAAGTGGAATTAAAGGACCTAGACAGCATGCTCTGAATAGAGAGGGGACAGATTGAACAGAGATTAGTGCAGCATGCATCAACCACGAGACGTGTTATACAGACACTAATACACACATATTCCATTCGCATGCAAGATAAACACCATGCAGACAGAGAAGAGGGCCCCTGGGGGGGTAAAAAGCAACCCAGTAACCCCCGGGTACCTCTATTCACTGTAAATCAGCATACGGCCAGCAGTTTATTACATATAGAGACACCGTTAATAAAGTCACTTGCATGTGTGTGTGTCTGCAGCAAACAACACAGGCGAGTGGCTCATCTGAATTTCTAGGTTTTCACTGGATTTCCAGTACAGCAGAGATGCTGGCAGCAGCTGACAGTCAAGGCGCACACCTGTGGAAAACTGTTCCATTTTCTTTTGCCATTTTGCCTACTAATACTTGTACAGAACAAATAAAAAACATGGAGACAGGAATTTGGGGTGTTAACTGGGTTTTCTTTTTTTAAAATACAATGTTGTCAGCATCTATCAGGCATTTCAGTAACACCCCATTCAAGAAAGTGTCGCAAGTGTCATTAAAACACTTAAAAAGAGGCTTTAGCAAACCTCAGAGGCCGATCCTGTGAGTGCGGGTGCCAGAAAGCTGGAGGGCATTTCTGGCACTGAGTTGGTTTTGTGCTTCTACATTCTGCCACACTGGTGAGAGCAGCAGGCACATTGCTACCAGTGACCTTTGTAATCGTAAGGAAAAGCAAGAGACAGGACAGGAGTACAGGAAAACCCCTATGTCCCCCCAACACAGGAAGGAGACTTCTCTGAGAACAGTGACAAGACCACAGTGACAGGGTACACTGATATTCAAAGATACACCACAGCATCAAAACCCAGCAAATCCAGAGTGTTTTGTTTTTACCAATTTCAAGTTAAAAAAAAAAAAAAAAAATTGACTAAGGCATCTCAACAGCACTTACATGAGGAAAATTCATTTTGGGGACTTTTGAGTTTGGCTGCTGACACCCCACCCACACACCATTTATCAACCGCGCTGCTATTAAGCACATTGCTAAAGGGGCCTCTACCTGCCCCTTCCGTGCAGGCCCCTCAGGCAACAGCCCCTTCCCACCCAGGGCCTCCTCCAGGCAGCCCTTGCCATCCCCCCAGCCAGGGGCTTCCTTCCCACCTGGGACAAACCCCAGCGGTTCCCAAGCCTCCCTGTGAGTTCCAGCAGCTTTTCCCCTCCTGGCAGCAGAGGATGGAAAAACCATCCCCAGCCACTCGGTACCGACAGTTCGGTCTGCGGGACACCCACATGAAGCGGCCGAAGCCCCCTCTCTTCCTCGCGGCTTCTCCGTGCCTGCACCTCCCGCCCACCTCCCTGCCCCCTGGCACAAGCAGCTCCCCGCAGTCCTCACGCAGCAGCCTCTTCTCTGGGGCTCCCAGATCTGCACATTCTCTGTTTGGGACAACCAGACTCACAAGAATACAAGCAGCGCGTGGTAAGGTCAAACGCCGTTTCCTGAAGGTTTCTGCAGAAGCCCGTTCTACTAAAAAGACCTCCAGAACTTGCTGAGACCCCTCCACTCTGGGGAGGCCCCAAGGGAAGCCCAGGCCTAACAAGAACTCGCTTCGTCAGAGGCCATGAGAAGGCCCAGGGAGCGGCGGGAGCTTCACTGCTCGGCACGAAGGTGCCCGGGCACCCCCGGCACGCGGCCCACGCTGCCCTTTCCGTGCTGAGCCGGCCGCATGGAACCCAGCTGCCATCTGCAGCACAGCAACGGATCCACCAGCAACCCAAGTTTCATGTAGCTCTGCGAGCCTCAAGGCGCTTCCACCAAGTCCCTCTGTGCTAGCCTGAAAGCACTTTATTTATTTATCTCCCACCTCAGCAGAAACTGGTTTTCCCCAGGTATGAGGAGCAGCATGTGCAAAAGCAGGGCAGACACAACAAGCACCAAAAGCACCATTTCTACCTCCCCTCAAGCATGAACTGCACAAAACAAATCGTGCTAGAAATTACATAAACCAAAGCTCCTTATGGCTTCAGCACAGGAAGATACTCCCAGGGATGAATCTAGAAATACCCTCCTCTACCCACTTTAGCTACAAGTAACGGAAGGGAGCAACTGAGACATGCAACACAGACAGGACCCCCTGTGCATCTGCTCAGGAGCACAGCGAAGGCTGCGTATTTGGAAGAAGCAGTTCTCTGAAGATGGCTACATTGGAGAAGCCGCTTCCAGAGATGTGAATATGCAGATGCTACGATATACATTTGTTTTTTTAACTCCAATTTATAGATTTACTCCAAATTACAAAAGTTAAGTGCATCTGCTAAACTTCCAATTAAATACCATATCTACTCTGAACACCAACCTGCATTGCTACAGAGCCTTTGCATGTTATGGTTTGCAAAACTAATTCTATAAACTCAGATATTTGAGGCTTGAAAACTCACTTCTAAGCTAATACAAACTAACCAATATACACACTATGTTCCCCTACACTTTTTGTCAAAATCATATGTTTACTAGAAATCAGTTACTCATTAGTGGTGAAAAACATGTTTTAAAACTTCTCTAGTACACCACAAAAAAAAAAAAGAGGCTTCTTACAAAGGAGCAAAGTGTTCTGCCTACACATCAGGGCTCAGTCAAAAGATCAGCCTCTTATGGAATCAGTTTAGACACTGGCAGTTAGTGCCACGTGCTCAAGGTGACCCTGCGTGTGCAGGGTGGTTGGACTCGATTACCTCTGAGGTCCCTTCCAACCTTGGGCATTCTATGGCAGAATTTGGGGGCTTATTTGCACTCTTCAAACACCAGGAGTCAGGTACAATTTTTCAGCTTTTGAGAGAATTAACAGAGTCCAAAGAGTGGGCTCTGGGTCGGCTACCGAAAGGCCAGCCCTGACTTGGGGGAGCGCTCGCTAAGTGCTCGGCGGGAGGCTTCAGCTCCCCTTCCATAAACCCGCAGCGTCCGAGGCGAGGGAAGGAGAGGTCCCACCCGTCAGCATCGCTGCAGCTTCTACTAAACAACCTCGTTTCTGTTCAAGCCTCCTCATTTTGCAATCATTCTGTTAAATAAAAATAAATCTCTCTGAAGATACAGTTGAGAGCTCCCAGGCCGAGACTGCCACCACTTCGTTTCTTCCTTTCCCCCTCGTTTTTCTGCTTGCTCCACAGCCCTGCAGCTGGCCCCTTGACTGCAGATTCTTTCTGGCCCATTGGGGCTTGCACAACCACAAAGATAAAGCAAAAAGTTTATCCCGAGTCTTCAGGGCCACTGACACTAGTTGATCCCAGCTGTAAGCGCACAACAAGTTATGCTTTAGCATACACAATTTTATACGGATTAGATGTCTGAATAGGAGTAACTTTTATGACATCATCTCTGATAGTTCTCTCTTAAATAGAAAGGGAAATTTTGGACAGCAAGATGTGCGCGTGGGGGGGGACCAATTGCTGCTTTTATTCAATTAATTTGACAGCATTTTTAATTGAGTATGTGAAAGCTAAGTATACTTTCACATGCTTAATAAAAAAGAAGCAAACTTTTTTTTTTTTTAATTCAGAAGGCATTATATAAGGGGAAGGCCAATACAAAGGAGATGCACTACAAAATGAGAGCAGACTGTTTTGAGGCGGGCTCCTTGCAGCCGTCCTCCAGCAGCACGAGCAGGAGAGAAGCAGAGCGCCCGGCTGCACACGGAACCGCAACGGAAGGTGCCCGAGGAGCCTCCACGAGACCCACAGCAACAAAACCAGAAGTGATTCATGTGCCAGGAGAGGCCAGCGCCGGCACCAACCGCTATTCCTGCTGACTTGGCAGGGGCAAACACGGCAGATCTCTGCAGACAGCTCTGCTGCAGGTCTCTCTTGTGGCAGGGTACAGATGGAAAATCCTTCTACCAGGGAGGAAGGCGCGTGCCACCCGGACGCGTCAGCCGGGCACTGATGCCGCCCCAGGCGCAGCGCTGCCGGCGGGGCTGCGACACCACTCTGCCCTGAACTGCACCTGACGTGCAAAACCCACATACCTCGAAAGAACAGCTCATGAAAGCTAATGACAACGCGCTCATGAAAAACATCATCGTTCTTATAGAGCTCACCTCTACACTTCATTTAAGAGACTGGAACTGACTGCATGTTTTCCAACAGCTTACACAGACGACCACTAGAGAGCAGCTTGGCATCCAAAGACACCCGTCTCTCTATCACACAATAAAATACAGCTTTGCAACAGACAAGCTAACCGCTTCTCCTGATTACTTGCAAGAATTCAACGCACAAATGATCTCATGCACTACTTTCATTTCCCCTCCATGGGACGGATGGTTTTAGTGCACTAGAGTCAGTCCCTTTGCCCATCCATCCTGCCCCATGGATTATCAAGACCAGCAGCCTGCCTGGACTCCACTGTGAATCATTTCCGCTCCGCACCAACCTTGCCTATCTCTCTATTTGTGCATGTTAAACTCTTCAAATACATTTCCAGACAGAAAAGCAGACTTGGCAGATGGAAATGGATTCTCCCCCTCCCTCCATCCCTCTGCAGTCACTAGAATTTTATAAAACACAAACAAACTAGAACTTTAGGGGCATCACTAAAAAATGTGTGTGTATATATTGTATGCACAACCATTTCCTCAAAAGCACAGGACAGAAATAAATGTGATTAATTAATTCAGTAAGAGACAAGTAAGCACCACAACAGCAGTAAATACTATCAGCCTACACTGCCGTGCGCAGCCACAAATAAGTCATGAATTAGGCATGCAGCACAAAGCCTAATTCCGTACACCTGCCTTTGCCAAGGCCATGACTTACGAGTTAAAAAATAAATGTCATTTTATACCTACGGAAGATTTTTGATAAAGCAATTTCCTCGCTTTTTAAGTATTCAAAGTCCTTTCAGGCTTCAAACACATTTGAAGTCTGGTGCATAGGGTAAGCCCTCCACACACAATTTTTTTTTTCCAGATACAAATAGAAACATCTGAAGATGTTTCTTTAAGAGAAGAAAGAAAATATCCAATGAATTCCTAGGATTTCCACATTATCATATTTGCCAGCTGCCATATAGGATCATATCTGCACTTCCTCATATCTCAGATTACATCAGTCATATCCACAGAATATAAAACAGACAGAGACATAATAACTTTTCATCTTAATAAACAAACCTCAGACTGTGAACTAAAAGCTACCCTGAATCTAGGTATTTCGAGGCCAGGAAAAAAAACCATCTCATTGAGATGTAGATAGAAAGAAGAACAGGTATAGGAAGATAAGGATGTATTAAATCAGATCACAGCTGGAAACCTCATAGCAACTGCCACACCGCTTGAGAAGAGAACAAAAATTAAGGCTTACGTAAAAATCTGGAAGTAATGTGAGAGATACTAGGGAATCAAACTGTAGGGAATTAAGTTTAATTTCAAGGTGGCAACACAGATTTCAATAACTTATTTACCATCATTTTTAAATGCAGGTGTTACAAGAATAAGGTATAAACGAACAACACTAACAGTGCACTGCAGTTTCTCACCCAAAGACTGCTGGGATTTTTTTTTTTTTTTTTTTCTCTGTTGTAAAAACTTATATAGAGAGAGATACATGTGCGTGTGTATACATAGATACACACACATATGTATACTTCAAATGAGCAGCACTGCCCTACATTTAGTGATACTATTTTAAACTTATTTAGCTAGATAGCATAAAAGATTACAGTCTTGCAGTCGCTGCTGAAATCCTTTGAAGATAAATAATTGTCGAACTCTACAAATCAGCTCAAATTCTTGGTAGCGTTCAAAGTACATAAAGAATCCTGTTCATCAAATAGAGCTGTATCAAAACCTCCTGTGATTTCCTGGAAGGAACAAGATTTTTAAGTGTTCTCATCTCGGAGCAATAAATATTCATTCAGCAATCTGTCAAACATGCAACTTCAAAAGACAAGTGGCTCAAAGGCCAATATATGTTAATTACATTTCTTTGCATTCTTCAGCAACACACGCTGTAAACCTATGTTTCCAGGTGGATTTTACTTGATTTCTTTTCCTTGTTCTTAAAGTGAAGGAATAGAAAAAAGGCAGAATAGAAAAAAGAAAACAAGACATGGAAGGGATTATTTCAGTTGTAACACGAACACAATGCTGCTACTAGAGCAACAAAATCTCCCTGCTCTCAAAGAAGTGGTCTTATTCTGAGTGGACTAAGCTGGCAAATACGACGTGAAAAAACTGTGTCTCTGGGGGAAAGGCTCGTTTCAAGCGTGCCATCTGACCATTTCTCAGACATGCAGTACCAACTTGCATTCACCTGTCTTAAGGCAAGAGCCAGAGGGCATTTCCACTGGTCATTAAAAGTGATTCAAAACAGGCATTATTTAACTTCTTTAACATCCATATGACAGAAAGGTGCGGAAAAGATGAGTATTTTTTTACCTTTTCTAGTTTCTTTGCCTCGATGTGTCGCAACACCTGTTCCCTCCAGTCGTGAGGGACTTTGCTTTTCCCGGGAGGGTCTAATAAAGAGTGCTCGGAGTTCACCCTCGGGCTGGTTCTCTTTGACGGGCTAGTCCGTGAGTAATTGAAGTCGCTCACTGACATAGTTCTTTCTGGTATTTCATTCACCGAGGGCCGAGCGCTCTGAGGCCGGGGTACGTTTGGACCATCAATGCTGTATGTCCTGGCAGAAAGTGGTCTCTGGTGCCCGGATATAACGTGCGGAGCTCTTCCCATCGAATGCAAATCCCTGTAGGTTAAGTAGTCCCCCTCAGGGAGCGGAGCCCGTCTGCAGGGCCCGGGATCCGCGGGGCCTAGGGACGCTGCGGAGGTGACGCTGCTCTGCCTCTGAAGGGTGTTCCGGGCTGCTCCTGGGGGCAGCCTGTCGCTCGGAGGAACAGCCCACAGATCCAGGTGCCTGCCCGCCAGGCGCTGATGGGCGCTGTAGGCGGCGCTGGCGCGAACGTTGTTGTGGTTGGAGAAGTTCATGTTGGCCGCGTGCTTGCCGTAGGCGGCGGGCTCGGCGCGCGGGGGCAGCTCGGCCGGCGGCGGCGGCCACAGCGCGTCCTTGGCCGCCGCGCCGCTGCTGCTGCTGCTGTACTGGATGTTGTACTGCGGAGCGCAGAGCGCCACGGCCCCGCCGGCCGCCCTCACCGCGCCGGCGCCCTCCGCGTTGTGGTTGGAGTCCAGCTTGAACACGCTCTTGGCGGAGGATACTAAATCGGACGACGACGACGACCCAGGAAAGACTTGCAAAGGCTGATCGTACAGAAGGGTGGCAGATTTACTCCTCACTATGTTTTTTCCGTCGGTGCTACTAGACGCTGACTTCATCGCGGTGTTTGGCTGCTGAGGTCCGTTGTCATTGACAATATCATAGATTTTCAGAGCCCCGGGGTCCATGCTGGTGATGCTGTGCGATTTCACCACAGGCCCACTTCTCTGGGGGGACAGGTCTTCAGTGCTTTTGGAAACAGGCAGCTCAGCACAAGAATCACCATCAACCGCAGTGCCGCGCATCGCTTCTTCTCGAATGGGAGAGTCTACTGCTTCCTCAGGGTGCCCGTTTACTTTACTTGTGGGATATTTATTTCCATTTTCCAAGTGCTCATTTTCTTCTTTCACATTGTTATTCAAATACCCCTTTACTGATGCTATTTCCTGGGGTTTTAATCTTTCCACGGAAACTGACACTGGCTCTTCAATAGCCAACTTATTGATGTTCATGTTTATTTGGTCTAATTTGTGAGACTCTTCAGTAGGAACGCTCAAATCAACACCTTTTCCTATCAGGCCTAATCTTTCTTCAATGCTTAATTCATAGTCAGACAAATTTGTAACCTTGTCTTGCACATTTGTTTTTTCTTCTACAGTAATGCTTAATTCACCTCCATTTTGCAGAATATTATTCAAATTTTCATCTTCTCGTCTGGAGAAAAAACAGAAAAAAACACTCTTGAGATAAATGCAAAATGAATATATTCCTGTATTAAGAATGGTTTCAGAAAATTAGTCATTATCACACAACACAGCCATATTGTGTGCAAAATACAGGACAGAGATCTATATATAAACAGTTTATGATTTACTATCTCACCAATGTAAAAATATTTTATGGAGAGCTCAGTTTGACAATTGTTAAGTCACTAATTATGAGATCGTGTTGTAATTTCAGAAGGTTAATTAAATTCAGCACTAACGCTTAAAGACAGATAAAAAGCCATGAACAGCTAAGTGACAACCATTCAGATTGTTTACTGGATTCTTCTAAGTTCCAGAGCAATATTTAGAAGTTAACAGTTAATTTAAAATTAAAATTTGATTTCATTTTAACAACTTAACATTATTTCTTTTGGCACTTAATAACTTAAGAGGATATGTTAACTAAAACCACAGACAGTAGCAATCTTCAAGTCCATGGTTAAGTATAAAAAAAAGAAACTCGTGTTTGTTGGCAATCAAATTGATATCCAAACAGAAAATAAAAATAAATAATTAAAAGAAATAGAAAATAAAAACAATGTTTTTTAAATAATGTATTGGAAGCATATAAAGTATCAAAAGGTTTAAATTATTATACCCGATTATTGCAAGAGATGGGAACCATGTTTTGCACATTAACATTTGCATTTTTAAAATACAGGACAACAAAACCCAAAGATAACTATTCCATTATTTTACCTCAAATACCTATTTTAAATATACTAAAATAACAACTAAGTAATAATTAGAGGGACTAAAAAAATAAGTAACATACTTCTCTACTGCACTTGTTCTTTGGCATGTAGTGTCTTACAAACCTGATTTTGGACAGAACAGCTGCATGCGTTTCTTTGTCTGGAGAGCAGAGAGAAACATCTTGGCTACTCTCAGTATTTAAGGAAACGGAATCCGACATTCGAGAAGGAGAGGAACAGTTGCTGTTATTTTGATTACTATTGTGGGTAGCTTCATCTGATAAGGAATCAGCATCTTTTAAGCCATCTGAAAAGAAAAAATTGCCACGTTATGGACACATACTTTTGAAAAAAATAAATGTTTACTGCCTATATGCTCCCATGTTGAGAATTTGTATCTTGGTTTTAAGTAATACTTAATACAGGAAACTAACGTATAAGATATCACTTTCCCAAACCTTTTACAGTTGTCTACTGACAAGACTGTTTGTTGGCCAAAGTCCCTATTTAGTTATTTTTTAAAGTATTTTGCTGAGTGTAAAAAACTCACACCTAATAACTAAATTGAACTTGATCCTTTTTTCCTCCATGTTTCCATGGCATAAGCCAATGCTATGCCATGTGACTTTCCTCCCATAATATCTATTAAATTGTGTTTGTTTTTATAATTGAAAAGTTTTGAAATGTCTATGCCTACTAGCCCCTATCTAAACAAAGCATACTGCTTTACATGATCTTTATAGACAGTTTCCACCTTTCAACATTATGTCATTATTAAATATCTGTTTGTTAGACTAAACAGTCTGGAAGGAACTGTATCCCTGAATGAGGACTACATACTTTTATAAATCGAAAAGCAAAAAAGAAAATATTCTTCTGCTTAGCTGGAATCCAAAGTACTGTCATGCTTTGCAGGTCATTTAAGCCAGTATTCTCAAAATCATGTATATCTGTGCACATTTACATAACATATATACATATATGTAGATACTATATCCCTGTGAAAAAACATTTATCTCAAGGACCTCAAGCCATCCATCATTTTGACACAGTGGATAAAAGAATACAACCAGTTTTGCAGCAAGACAGCTAGAGGTGCCAAAATCGTAAGGTTTGTGGAGCTAAATGTTAGCTCCAGAGCTTTCATTCAATTCTACTTTTACATACTTTAATTGGAAAAATAGTCATTTCAGGTCAAGAAATTATCAGAAACATATGACTTTTTTTTTTAAATTGTATCTAACCTTTTTTGTTGTTGCTAAGAGCTACCACTTTTGGTTGATTCATGGATGTTTCTATCAATGGAGGCCGCATTTCTGCCATTTTCATCTCTTCATCAGAGGAGAGTTCTTCTGACTCCTGCTAAAGCAAAAACAGCTTTATGCTCTGCACTTTACACAAAAGCTTAAATGTCAAGTGCTGTCTAAACTGTCACCCACCAAACAACACAGTAGGAAAGTACAATCCAGCAGCACAACATAGTCCTACTTCTTAGAGCAACTGCAAGTATTTGTAGAGCAAGTGAACTGAATTTTGCAACTTTTGCCACTCAATTATCTTTAAGAAACAGCATGTGCAGACTTAGGCTCTTTCTGACAAGCTCCACAGGAATGACTGTCAAGCTGGTGTCAACTTCCGCTGCAAGAGCTACTCAGAGCAGGCAGATGCAGCCGCCGTTTGACCGTTGGGACAGAACTCCTGACTGAATTCCAGTCAGGAAGCAGTACCCATCATTTATCATCACCACACAATGATGTGCAAATAGATCTACTACCACACACGTCCATAACATGGAGTGGTAACTAAAGAGCTGGAATATATTTCCGATTCCACATGGGGATGGATTTGAGCTACTGCCTAATAATGTTTTCCTGTGGTGTGAAGAGTGGAAATGGGGTGCAAGTTCACCCCTTTTCTCTCTGCAGGAACTTTGCACTTGTTCTACGAAGCTAGTGAGCATCCGCTCCCCTTGCCTTCTGCTCCAAGTTGTCACACTTTTAGACTACGTGACAATAGTATTTTCAATTTTCCTTAAAATTCTCTAGACTTTTCATTACTAATGTTCCTTTATACTAGTATTCATATATTAATGTTCCTTCTTTTGGACTCTACACAAAAGGTCCCTACCTTCACTGCATTTCAGAGCCCACAACCAGACATGTCTTAAACATGCTAAGGAACTGCCAGTCTACTCCTGCTAAGGCACAACAGGGAAGTTGGTTTCTCCTCTGCTCCCAGCTGATTGTTATAAAGTTATTAATCAAAGGAAAACCTAAGATATTGATTAACTGGATACTGGTTTTGCCAAAAGGTTATATGAACTTGAACTTGCTATACAGCAGCAGCTACCCCAAGATGACTTTAAGAAAGGAGAGGTATGCTGAGAAAGGACTGAATAAAGCTTGGCTTATGTAGTTCAGCAAACAAAGTTCAAGCACAGTTTCGGGCTCCTATCTTTAAGTTTGCTTTACTAACCTTTTACCAAGAGAATATGAAATTATTTAACTTCAGGAACAACAATGGTTTGTGAAAAGTGATGCTGAATACATTTAAGCTAGAAATCAGCAGGCTTCTAACCATAAGATGGAGCTCAGTGCATTTGTAAGAGAGAGGAACTGACAAAGCTGCCTGCAAGAGCAAACATGATGAATTCGGTATCTACTGCCAGGTTTGTATTCCTATTATCTTCAGAAAACCATTATTTTCAGTAAGATTTTGAAGGAAAAAAAATGTTTTTCCTTCTCTTCTAGTAAGCATGCTCCTATTTACAAATGTCACAAAACCTGTATCACAGCTGGCCAAAAAAAAAAAAAAGGAAAAAAAAATCTTGATTTAAAGAAAAGAAAATTCTTTGCAAGCAGAAGAGATGGCCTGATGGCTACTCTCTATCACATTTCATTTCCCCCTATATTTTATGTCATTGTTGAAATAGAGAACTTATAGGCAAAGTTCAGATTTTTAGATTCGACTGTTACAGAGTTAGCAGCAGATTCTTACACGGAAAGAATTCAGCATCTTTCCCCAATGGATTCTACACTGCTGTCCTGTTTGCTTACTGGTTTACAGCCAGCTTCATAGTACTGCTGCCACAATAGTTAAATATCTATTAGGATCTTCTGAAATCGTTTTTCACCAAGGAAAAATGTTAAAGCCAAAACTTCGCAACATACATAGAAGTTTGTACATAGTGGACAAAGGGCCAGCAGCGACTACAGCTGCTTTTTCAATGACATCACAACATACACATATTCCCCTGCTTACACAATGCAGGCAAGGATCTGGTGAAATTGGGAAAAAAAATGGAGTACTTAATTTATGACAGGCAACTGGTTAACTGACAAGTTCCAGAATTTCTGAAAAGTCTCAAAATAATCCTTAAAAATTCATGACTAAATGGATTTGTTTTTTCTTTAAATCCATACATCATTTTGTTATGGACTTCTTATTAGATATTCCAGCTTTTAGTTACAGCAGTCTGAAGTTAGAGAAATATTGCTTTACCACCCATCTGTACTTCCAGCACTTATGACTGGTAATTTTATGCTATTGTCGACATAAATTTTCATTGCTGTTTCTCAGAGTAACATGTACTTTGCTCAACAGCAGCACAATTCTCCAGTTGCAATGATTTTCATCACAATCCCGTACCTCGAGCGTGTCTTCATGGTTGACAACTGGTTTTGTGTTCTTTAAGGTTTTAACAAGGGCAGTCATCTGCGGATTGGCAGTGCTGTGCTCAGCTTCTGGTTCAGCAGGCTTCTGCACAGAGTTTCCTGCTGAATATTGCTTTCTCTCCTCTGCTTTGTTTTTAACTGGAGCGATTTCTGATGTCTGCAAGATTAAAAATATTAGCAGAAAAACATCCTGAAAGATTTGCAGTAAGATACGGTATGCAGAGTCAACATCACATGTTTTGGGAAACTGAAATGGAAAATCTGACCTTTTAAATCATGTACTATAAAATGCACCCCGTAGAGAAATACTTTTGTAGATTACTGAGCTACCCCTCACAAATCTGCCTTCCTCAGGGAGAGGGGACAGGAAAATCTACAGTGAGACATGTCAGCACCAGGCAGCAGTCAGAACATCTTGCTGTTTGCTAACTTCAACCTGGCAGTGACTCCCGTGCCAGCCCACTACTGTTGCACTCCTACTTCATCCTGGAAACCCTCCATACCTAAGGACAGTGGCAAGATCCTGATTTCCATTCTGAAGTTTGGCAGATAAAAGAGGATCAAAACATGGCAGGGGCATCTTTCGGAAACCCAAGGGACAAGTGATCTCTATATCTGCCCGACAAGCAAATCACTTTCCTTGTTCTCAGTCTCAGAGAAAAATCTACTACCAGAAAACACCTATTTTTTTTAAAGATGTTGAAGAAAGTAATTCTATTCTTAATTGGAATCTTTTCTTCCTAAAGCAGTAGTGGGCAGGAGAAGAGAACTAAAAGGTATCAGTGATCCTCTAGAACTTTGGAAGTTCTTGCAAAGCCAGAAGAGAATTTTATATCTAACCTTTACCCCCACATCTTTGACGGAAACTGCTTGGCCTTCTCGTTTTGACTCCTTGGCAGTATCTTCCGTAGATTCTTCATCCTTTAGTCTATGCACAATTGTCTGCACTGTTTTGACCATATTCTTCAGTTCATCAGGATACGGAGTGGGATATCTCTTCAGATTGCCCTCCTGTATTAAAATAAGCAATAAATACTCCAATTTAATTGAATACAATAATTAATCAGTTTTAACAGAGAAAAGACACTTTGCAAAGCAATCTAGAACATCAGTTTCACAGTTTGAATCTACTTGGATCAACTGAAAGATAAGGCAGAAAAAGCCTAGCAAGATCATATTTTTTTCCCCAGTTTTCTATTCATTGGAAGCAAGAGGAACTACTACAATTTTAAAGAATTTAAAGAAAACTTAGAAAACTTAAGTAAAACGGGAGTAATCATTTTGCACTATTCCATCACCCCAGCACCCTAGGAAAGTAAAATAAAATACTTTCCTAGCATGGTCCTAGCATTGCTGTACACCAGCTTTTTCCTGTGTGCTCTATTTCTAATAATCTGCCCCTCCACCACCAAAGAAAAAAAAAATGGATCCTCTTAGATGCTCTTAAAGTAGTAACTGAAGACTTGATTTTTCATCACAGTGAAATGCACAACCAGAAAAGGATGGAGGAAAGAGGAGGCTGGGAAGCACCAAGGATCCCCAAATATATTGAGTACTAACCCGAGGCGGTGCCTCCCTTTCATCTTTGTCTTCGTCACACTCAAAAGCCACCTGAGCACGCTGTTTCCTCTGTTCCTCCCACAGGGACGGATTGAAGCTTTCATTATCAGATATGAACATAACTAAACAAAAAGACAGATTCTAGTAAGAATGTGAAAATTATACAAGAATCTTTTCTTCTTTCTTTTCCTTGGAAAGGATTTATGTGCAAAAACATAAGAGACTAGCAGGGCCAGAAGTTGAAGACTAACTGTGCTGTCACAGCTCTAAGAAGTTGGCCATATTTTCATAATGGTTAAATCTCCATCTGTAAAGTAGAAAAAGCTTCTTACATACACAGATGAAGGCTAGTGTGAACACTCACAGTTGGGATTCTTTGCAGAAACCTCTCAGTTGTAAAATACATAGATATAATCTCAATATTTAGATAGATATATGAGGGTGTATGTGTGGGTGTTTGCACACAAAAATATCCTGACCATATGATGCCCTTATTTAATAATGTGTAAGAACTTTCACTTTTCACATTTCATGAAAATAAAGAACAGGATAAACTATGGTTATAGGGAAACTAAAATGGAGGCACAGCTGTTCAGGAACTACCTTCTACTTCACTAAATTCCCAAAAGCTTTCCCAATTCTTACATTCTAACACAGATAATGCGGATGCATTATCTACATTAGGGAGCTCGAAGGGACATACAATTTACTGTGTTTCCAGATACTTTTCCAATTAGTTCTCTCAGCATACTGGAGGCTTGTGCTAGGGAACAGAAACGTAGCCAGCACTCAGTCGACAGCGATTCCCGTTGTTCCCCCTACTGCAGCTACACATACATATTTATTGTACTTTATTTATCATAGAAATAGTCTGTCTGATTTCTGTTAAGTGGATACAAACTCCTTCCTTTCATCTGCATGGCAAGGAGCAGAAGAGAAACACAGAGGCCCTTACTGTCCTTCCTTACTCCTGATGGGTTAACTCACGAGATACTACTCATTTTTGTAACTACCTCACAAGAATTAACTCTCTAGCAAGCTCTGTGTCTAACCTTTTGTAAAGCAGTTCTGATTAAGTGAAAGCAGTTCCCCCCACTTCTAACTCATCTTTTCTTTAATGGATAATGATCTGTATTTCACTGTTCTCCCCCCAATGGAGTAAGCATTTTATATAGTACCTTCTTAAAACACTTAAGCCTGAAGCAGATACCAGCACAAAGCAGCAAACCATTAAACTTTGCTGGAAAGAAATATGTTGTCACACTGATGAGTGGCATCCATGCCGCTCCCCACACAAGCCTACTTCCCATTCAAATGAATCTTCTGCAATTTCCTAATAAGTGGTTCAGTTTTAAGTTCCCACATAGTATTATCTAGTGAAGAGCAGGCTAGCTAGACTCTCTGCCCGTTTCTCTTTGCAGAAATCAGCTTTCTGAGGGAGCTGCTTCAGAGATCCTTACCATCCTCCGTCCTCGGCTGCTGGGGAAACATGTAGTTGGTAAGCACAGTTTTCTGTGTGTCAGGGTCAGCTTCTTTTTGAAGAGGGATAAGTGGTTTAGACTGAGAAGGAAATGAAAAATAGACATTATGAGAATATATATGCGTAAGACCCAAGCAGGATCTATATATTTAAATTCTTGTTATCTATATTTAACAGGGCAAGTTATTTCCATTACATTTGAAAACTGCTCTGCCTTGTATTAACCCCTCTGAATAATTTATACAAAATAAAGTTTTTGTTTGTTTTTTAAAAAGAATAGGCAAACACTGGATATTAGAAAAATATACCATTTCTTACTAGGACATAATACTGCCCTAAAACACACTGACCTTGAACACATACATATATTTAGCCATTTAAAGCTAAATACACCATGGTCCCAATATACAGGAAAGATGCACATGCTATGAGCAGACTTACTTCACAGGAGCTTTAAACTTGGACAGTCAGAGGCAAAGGTGGGCAAGGAGTTCAGCACAAAAGACAGCATGCAAAATTCCACAGGTATTGTGGAAGAAACAGGGCAGTATATATCAGAACACTAGCTTATCGAGCAGAACCCTTCCTGCTTTAACAAGCCCTAACCAAGAAAAAAACCAGCTATATCTGTTAAGCTGCATTTCCTAACACACACAACTACGTCAGAAATAAAGAAGTCTCAAGGTGAGTATGGTCAGTGTGGTTCTTGATAAACTGTCAAGAAAGGACTGGTGCACATCCACAATCCCACTTTTTAATCATTTCAATGGCCCTGCACAAGCTCTATTAGACACAAATCCAACAGTACTCTATTCACCCATATTAAAAAAAAAATAGTTCACCTGATTGTCTGACAGCCACATAGCAGTGAGCTGCTGCAGTTTTGTAAAGGTAAAGGGCAAGTTCTTCAGTCTGCAATTTATAAGAGGAAGATTTTATGTAAGTATGCTTACCAGTGCTAAGATTGTTAAGAAACAATGGTGCGTTAGTCTGTAGAAAAAGCTTGCAAGGGACTTTTATTGTTAAATAAGTAACTATTGACAGCTGAACAGGCCATGGCGTTTAAATTAATTTCAAAGCTATACTAGAAATTAAAAAAATATATATATTTTCTACTGTGTTTAGCAGGCACCTTAAAAGAATGGAGACAATTTAACTCAGAACAATCTACATACAGCTGAGGGGAAGAAGTATTAAAAAAAAGTATTAAAAAAAAAGAAAAAAGAGAAAAAAGAGCTACACCTGAAAACCTACTTATTTTAAACAAACAAGCAACAGAAAAAAAACATGAAAGGGCTGCCCTCAGTAACAGAAGCTCTGGCATTTACAGATCAAGCAGACTATATGGAAGCAGTATGAAGAAGCCAGATTAGAAAAACTAGGGGGAGAACCTGGTTATATTCATCTCTCCCAATCCATTTACATTTAGGAATTGGCAGGTCCCAAAAGAGAAATGTTTTGTCAGTTTGAAACGAGCTGCTGTAATAAAACCACCTTCTTCTCCCCCTTGACTAGCACAGTCAGTATTTTACAACATAAGCTAATGTTTTGTCTTTGCACACAGGAAAGGCAATTGTATTTGAATCTTTCTAAAGTTAAAAAACTACATTTTTAGAAAATAACTTAATTTTCTTAAAAATAAATCTAAACAATCATGAATATTGTGAAGCTATGACATGAAAGTCATTAAAACAACACAGCTTCATACAGTGGAACTGCAAGCTCCAGAATACAAGAACAATAAAACAAGTACATGTACATGCATCTCTGTGTCTGCAGCAGCCAGAAAGAACTAAGTTTTTACAAAGAAAAGACTCAGGAAAGTGTGTATTATACCTTACTGTAATACACTGAAAAGAGCAGAAACCCAACAGTAACTGGAACACTATAGTGAGATAAGGAAAGATAGAAAAGTACATTCGTAAAAATTCCTCTGCTTAAAACTTGCAGGTTAGATATCAGTTACAGTATGATATATGCAATGCTGCTGCATTTTATGCAACTCATACATGAATGAATATAATGTGCAAACCTATTGTCACTCAGATTGATGACTCTTAATTTCTGCATATCACCCATATCTTCAGGGAGAAATTCAAGCTTATTAGAATGAAGAAACAATACTGTTACATGCTTCCAGTTTCCTATCTGGAAAAGGAAAAAAAAAAATTAATTCATCTTCAAAACAAATTAATTCATCTTCAAAACAAATTTTGGCGTTTTTGAAAGTAAAAGTTATAAAAGCTATTTTGTCTGTCAGTTACAATTAAGTTTATTTACATACCTCTGGTGGCAACTGTGTTAGGAAGTTATGATCTGCAGCAAAGGTCCTTATGTTCGCAAGTTGCCCAATAGATGAAGGCAATGTTTCAATCTCATTAAAACTACAGTCCAGTTCTTCTACTGATATTAACCTGAACAAATATAAAATGGAAGAAATGCATTTAATTTTTGCAGAAGTTCGTTCTATGCATTTCTTTTTAAAAATATTGCTCTTTTCATTTTAATGGGGAAATCATCACCTTCTTACATGTGCCTTGAACTTTTTATAACCAGGTAATATATGTTCCACCATTTGCAGTAGGTAACCAACACAGCTGCAGCTAAGATAGCTGGACTTTCTTCTGCAGGATGCCCCAAAACACTTGCATGCACCACAGGCCTTCACAAACACACTCACATTGCTTCCTCTCACATCAACTTTCCACTTACAGATTGATGCTCACATTAATTCAGGAGGAACTAAGGTCTTTGGTATTAAAGAACATACATACAGCTGACTGCCTTCGATTTATTAAGACATAATGGTAATATGTAATAGATAGGTCAAGCAGAGAAGTGTAAAATCATTCAAAAGAGCAGCTGTTCTTACAGAAAAGGCTGCAGAAAGGTTAGTCACTTTTATACAAGCGAAATACTTACCCGCCTATAGAGTCTGGCAAATAAATTAACTGGTTTTCATCAATTTTAAGTGTTGTTACCTTCTTCAAGGAGCCTGTTGCCAAAAAAAAAAAAAAAAAAAAAAAAATCAATTAATTCAAAAAGAACATAAAGGGTAATTTAAAAATAGAAGTGAATTTTTAAAAGTGAAAACACTATGGACAAGTCACCACATGTTCTGCATTCCCTGAAATCCCAGCACAAATACAGTGCTATAAACCTACTACAAAAATAGGAGCATGGGCTTAGAGAACTTGCTTGCCAGTTTACCATCTATCGGCCACAGAAGAGAAAAAATATATATTTAGTATCTATACTTTATATATTTATAGATATAAATATATATTAATAAATACATTTTTACTCCATGGTACAGTTAACAATTTTTCATTCAAAAAACTCTGAAATAATATCAGAAATACATCAAGTGTGAATGTTCAGCTGTGTGCTATAGTTTTATCCCAAACTGGAATTTTATTTCAACTGAAAACAAACAAGTCCTACTTTAAAAATTAAAGCGTTCTATGTCTAAACCATGAAGTTTTAGAGCATGAACTAAGCTAAAATACAAACCAATGGATTCTGGCAGTTGCTGAAGTGAGTTGCTGGATAAGAGTAGGTCTTGTAGGCTTTCACAACCTGAAATGCCTTCTTCAACTACTTCAATGTTGTTTTTAGAAACATCCAAGTAGGTCAGCTGTTTCAAAGTACCTATGAACTAAAAAGAAAAAGGGAAAAAAGGATTCTAGGGAGTGCAAGTTAGAAACAAAAAAGCCTGCAGTTTTGACAACAAAGCTACTAAAACATTATGTCATGTGAAAGATGAAACACTTATGGGATTGAAATAGAAAATCTTACATCAAACATCCAACTTTTCCATGTCTCCCCCCTCCCCCCCCTTTTTTTTTGGTACAGATATGCACAGTTTATGTTTTTCTGCACATATAGACATACTATAGTTATTCCACGGGTCTGAAATGTAAACACTATTTTACTGAAAAAATGAAGAGTTTGTTACGCACACCCTAAATGAGCTCTGCTCAAGGAGCAATCAGCTCAAGAGAGCAGGGAGGACTATGGGTCACGCAGAAAGCCTCACTGCTTGTCAAGGCTGAAAGCAGGCCAGCTGCTGACCAAATTTCAAACGCTGTGAAACTGTGTTTATACTGTAGTAAACAAGCACTGCAGCAGCGGGCCATCCTCGACTCTAAGGGATGCCAGGAGCCTAGGATCAAGGCAAGAGAACACTTCAACAGGAATTTACCTACACTCTGTAGAAACATGCATAAAAATAGGAATGACGTGTGCTTGCTCTGCAACAGAATTCATAAAGCATTTTTATCTTGTGAATTCCAGCCTGCTCTTTAATACAAAATACGTAAAAAAGATTGTTTTCCCAGAAGGAAAGCTGGGCAATTCTAAATTTGATCTACATATTTTTACATGTCCCTCTGCTGGGTTAGAAGAAAGATTTTATAACCTTCAGTGAGAGAAGAGCCACGTACCCATCTCTCTCAGTGACAATTAGTGGGCAAGTTAAGCAGGAGCACTCAACCTTTCGGTTTAAGGTAATATTAAAAATACGCAACCACTCCAACATAAAAGCTACCTGACAAAGCAAATACCAGTGTAAAACTGAAATAAAAGATATTTAAATCAATAAAAAAACCTTACCCCTGGGATAAGGGTTAGTCTATTACCATCCATCCAAAATTCCTTTAACCCACTCAGTTGTTCAAGTACTTCAGGCTGTAAAAAGGAAATTTTTAAAGCTTTATGATGAGAAAGGTCTGAAGACAAAGTAAGTTCAATGATACTTATGTTTGCAACTCTAACTAGTATATCTCTACAGCTGTCATACTTTTGTTTCATCGGATCATAAATTTTATCTCAGCTATATTACTTACTGAAATCTGAATTTATACTAGATATACAAAAATCTGTTGAGAACTTAATCAGAGCACTAAATGCTCCTTAGCAGAACGGACAATTTTCCAGCTAAGTGTGCAAGTCCCTCCCTCATGCAGGAGCTCTAAAAACCTTTAACTTTCTTGAATTTAGAACAGCTTTTTTTCAACAGCCACAAAGCTGACAAGACACTGAACTAGAAAACTGAAGAACAGATTCCATCTTTTTTTTTTTTTTTTTTTTTTTTTTTTTTTTTTTTTAAAGCTAACAAAAGACACATCCATATGATGCAAACATGCAAACAAACCATCCTATCCACGAAGCAAATTGCAGGGTATACTCCCATTACAAATTTTATCGCTTTTTAAAATATGAACATAACCTGCATTAACAAAAGACAGATCCTTTTTAAAAAAAAAGAAAATGAGAAGTGTTGCAAGCTTTCTGTGCTTTTAGCAAAATATCTGAGTGAGGTAAGCTCCCAGAGCTAGACTTCTCTAGACAGAATGCTGGGAGAGATGAAGTAATCTACCCAAAACAGAGGCAGCCAAGGGATTTAGCAGCCTATCCTTAGTCCCTGACTGTTAGGGCTTAACAGTTACTTGGGCCTGAGCACATCAGTTAAGGCTCTGCCAGGGCTACGTCCACTGTAACGAGACCTTGGCAGTAAGTGCAGCACCAGGGAACGAATCCTGGGGTCTCGGCTGCCACTGCCAGGCCGCGCAGGGCCGCAGGCGCGAGGCGTCAGGCCCGGCCCGTGGCTTCCGAAGCGCCTGCTGGCGCCCGCAGGGGCCCGGCTTCACTGACCGCGCACCGGAACAGCCCTCGGATTTTCAAAGGGTGACCGTGTCCCGGGCACACAGGAGGGTTTCCAAGTGGTGGGATGTTATGGGACTCTAAATGGAAGGGGATGTCTGTCTGCGACACCATGAACAGGAAACACGCTGATCCATGCTGAAGGAAAAGTCTGGGCACCTCAACTGAAAATAACACTTTGAAGAATACTGGAGACAAATTTGTAACAAATTAATAAATTTCCCCTTGGATCTAAACAGTTTGTCCACTCTATTAAAGCACGTTTCCTACCGCTTACACAGAACTTGCGTAATGACCAGTAAGCATTTAAAGTTTATTATAAACCAAACCATTTTGTCTATAACTTAGACCTAAAAAATTAACCTCTTGTCAATACTTCAGCGCCACTATACCACAGTTTTATTTTCAAAGTGAGAAATGAAATATATCTAACACAGTTTTAAAGAGGCTCCATAAAACAGCATAAGATCTATAGAATATTTGCTCTGTAGCAGATTTTTACAATTCGATGTTGATTAAAAATAGATTAAAAGATACAGAGATATCAAACAGATTCAAGGCTCTGCCACTTCAGTACAACTCACCACTTCTGTGAATTCATTACTTCCTAAGTCCAGTCTCTCCAGTTGAGTCAGTCTGGACATGGTTCTGCAATGGAAAGAGATTAACAAGGAATTAGATTTAAGAAAATACTAGTCACATCTGATCTTGCTGTATTCACAGATATATCATTTTAATCAGCATTAAATCATGATGATGTTCTGCAACCAGATATAGGAAAGTCAATTTTTCTTCATCACTCAACTGTTAATGAACATGCCAACAAGCCAAGAGTCTTGTACAAATCATACATAAATTAGTTCATGAAAAAAATAAAGAACACTGCAACCATCTTTACGATAAAGAATATCTCTATGAAGTTGCTCTCTTTTCTGATTGCCTCGAATTTCCTCTAAAGGTCATAATCACCGGAGTTCTCCAAAAAGCTACAAGCTGGTTAACATGTATTTTCCTCCCCAAGAAATAGCTCTGTAATAGTTAGCTAAGAGAAAAGATCACCACTGAATCACTGTAACAACCAATGCCTTTTCCCCATCTCCATGCTGTTCACATGAAGTTGCTTCTGCTGTGATCTGGAATCTTAATCATTTCTGTAGTCTTAAAACAAACCATATTACTGAACTGCATTTCATGACAGATCCATACTCTTCAAGCCAACTTCTGGCAAAGTCTAAATGAATGCCTGGAATATTAATAATAAAAAATTCTTTCTTCCAAGGTGTGTTTCGGCAAAATTTTCCTATTTAAGTTTGCTCTGGGGATGCAATATACGCTCAGAAATAGTCTGCAAATAATCCATCCATATTTTATTTCCTTACTGGATGGAACTGGGGGTCTTCTGTTCCATTTCACTGCATTAGATCATTCACTACACTTGTGCATCAAAACTTTGGGCAATTATCGTGCAGATAAAATTCCCGTGCCATTAACAACAGTAGCTTATCAATGATTTATTTTCTTTTAAGCTGTCAAAAAGGTCTTAGAAACATTACAAGCTGCCAACAGGATAGCTGAAGGATTCTTCAAACAAGGGGCTCTCCCACCTCCACCCATGAGGCAAGTCCCTGCCAAGGGGCCAGCCACAGCGGCTGGCACCATCACTGCTCCAGCCAACACTGCACGAGCTGAAGATACTTTCAAAGAGGCTACAAATCCCCTCATACAGCATTCTATTCATATTTATTTGATAACAGCCTTCCCTCTGACAACTAAAACCAAAAACATTCAAATACAAATCTTCAGTGTGGTCATACTATAAAAATCTGAAAAAAAACCCCTTAAATATTTAGCTTCTAATTTGGAGAGTTCTCAGTATTTTCAAAAAATAAACATGAAAAAGTATTTTTTGGAACTATGTGAATACAACATGCTCTATGTGGCATTTCAATCCCCATTGTTCTTCAAAGATCTCTCACTAAATACCGCCATTTTTCTGAATACACAGTTCATTAATTACATTGAAAATGTGCATGTAAAGCTGGTTTGCAAGAGCCTTATTTCGCTCGGCTCCCCCAGTGGTTTACCCAACTTGCATTTCCTTTAAGTAACAGCACTTTACTTTTCCCATATTGTTTATATAGCCACTATTCCTTTGGCCAAAAAGCAAACAAAACATCTAAAATACTGAAAGTGTTAAAACACTGAAAGTGTTAAAAGGAGTAGGAAAATTCAGTAGGAATTGATGAAGAGCGGGTGAATGGCTGGATTGGAGGGGAGGGAAGAGGGGATCTACTAGATCACTGAGTCACCACATCTATTTCTACCTCAGGCATTGCATTATGTAAGCTCTTTCATAAACTTATAATACTGTTACATAATTCATATTATTGAAATTGCTGTCAAATCAATGTCACACTAACAGAACAGGTACTCTAATTACGTCTCACATTCTGAGCCTGTAAACAGACAACTTCACCCAGGCTAACAATACTACCTGCTTCAAATAGCACAGAATTCAAGAGGTATGAGCGATCACAAGATTAGATCCTGAATCATCATAATTACCCTCTCAAATTTCTTCTTTTTAAAAAGCAACTCTTTTTATTGACAATTGGGCAGATACATGCTTAAAATTTTAAAAAAGAAAGCATGAAATTCTTCAAGTTCAACAGTTTCTATAGGCATCAAACTATATTCTCAACTTTCAGATACATAGCAGATGAGCTGCCTTTCAAATATTCTCTGCACATTTTTGCTCTCCTTTCAGTAGAAATATTTTTACTGAGCTCGTCTGCATTATAATACTGCCAGTTTTGCTGTCTCTAGCTATGGATAAGCTCCAATCAAAATGATGCATTTGGCACAAAACAAGGTTGATTTAGTATCTTGGCACCGATTACCCATTTTGATTAACAGTCTTCCAAGTGCTTTACTCTTCACTGTTAAAAATTATGTGCATGTTGAATTTAGCAGGAAAGCTAGGCTGATGTTATAAAAGTTTGTTCATATATATCTATGATTACAAAACCAAAAGTAGCAGCCCTAATTATGGAAATATTGAAAAAGAAAAGAGGAACAATGAAACAATTTTTTAAAGAATATATTTTATAGTAAAAATATTTTCATGTACTGCTACATGCCATTAGCTTCAACACCACATGTGATTTTCTGAGTTGCAGTTTAAAGCTACAGACCATGTTCCTTTTGGAACACATATTCAGGTTTTGAAAGCTATGCAAGCTAGAATTTCTCATCAGTTTCTGGTTGGACTCAATAGCTAAAAGCAAGGTCACAGACCACTTACTTTGTGGGCTAGGCCAATTGCTGAACAGATGCATCTTGCTGAAAGGCAGATTTACCTCTTGCATACAATTTACACCACAATCAGTTTGTCCCCCCAGTGCACATCAGACATAAACAACGTATTTTTCCAGTCCCTTAGAGTAGTAGAATGTTTAATTGTGTGTTTAAATTAAAAATAAGTAGTCTCAATAGCTTTAATCTCGCTTAATTAAAAACCACAGGAGTATGAGAAGAGAACAATTAAGGTGGCAGTTCAGCCTGTACTGTAGCTCATTAGGGAGATACTACTGAGGACATCCTCACAACAGCTGAGTTTAGTTATGCAGCTAAGGGTGAAACCTTGGAAACGCTGAAGTTAACAGGAAAACTTCCCATCAATTCTAACCACAGTAGTAGCATTAAGCTGGAATACATTACAGCATTCCTGTAAGTATCTCTTATCAGTGCAAGAGTCCTCTGTAAACTACTTTGGGAAAAAAAGAACAAAAGTATGCAACTCATGCTGTTAGCATTAATTATAGCAATTAAGGTCAAGGTAATTTCATAAACAAAGTTTGTGTTTGCTATATGTTTGTTTTAATCATAGCTACAGCTCCTCACTTAAGGGTAACAATTTACACAGCCGGTATCCCAAATTACAGGTCCTCTAATTTTGCTACTCAAAACGTATGATATTACAAAGAATAAAGACAGATGAACAAGTATTTGCAGCACATAAGTAAGGCACAGAACTTGCATGTGAACGATTTTAGTTTACTCTTGCTAGTGTTACAGTTCATTCCAGTTCGGAGCTTTGGCATTTGATACAGCAGCCACAGTGTGGTATCTGACACTAGACACGAAGTGTCACACCGCTCTCAGAAGGGAGCTCCCGCTGAACATGCTTGTTTCCCACGTTGGCACATTGCTGACTGGAGTCACCAGGAAAACTCGTTTCTGCACCTGAAGAGCTGGCAGCTCACACCTCACCCTATTACATGCAAGTCGCTGCTAGCACCTGAGCTGGGCAGTGGGAACCTTCTCATGTTGGCTCCTTCTCTTCTACCCCAAACCTGTGAGAGCTGCATCTCCTTTCATCCGCTTCTGTTGCTAACGGAGGACCCCTTATGCTGCACCTCCCAACATATTCAGCACTACAGGGCTGGTTGTTCATGTCTCATCACTAGGATCTCTGTCCTTTTCCTCACTGATCTTCAGGCTCCTCTTGGTCCAAGCCAGACCATTCAGAGCATTGCTCTAGCTCACACATACACAGGAGCTACAACAGTCACCTCTCAGGTTTGCTTGGTGCAAGAGTGGTGCAAGGCAGGCTCAAGAACATTTTAAAAAGGCAACACAATTCAACTTCTACTGCTAATCTAGAACTACTTCACAAATACAGAAAATGCGGCTGAAGAAAATACTCCCATTATGGAACCCTGGAACGTTACAGAATATGCACTGCATAAACAGATTCCACACAACATAAAATTATTTTTTTTGCACCCCTCGTCAGTGAAATACATAAATAAATAAAAAAAAGTTTACATGATGTGATTCACGCCCTCAGTCATTCAGAACACGCATCTCAAATCCCACATTTCATTTAAAGGTTTTGGTAACGAATACCAATGCCTGAGCGTCAGGCGCTCAGCCACCACAAGACCCACACAAGCATCTGGGCCCCAGCTAGGTGGAAAATGACCTTCCTGAAACACTCATGTGTTGACTCGAAAGCTCTACCAGTGCATCAGAAATCCACAGAACAGCACTCAGACCGACATCTTCGTGTACAGAACGGGGTGCCAGGAAAAAATAAGAGTCAGTATGAAAGGGAAGTCTGAAGGGAAAGAGTCTCTTGTTACAGTATCAACGCGCCAAGTTAATATTATTTGTAGCAAAATTATTATTAATAGTAAAATTAGTTAGCAAAACATTATTAGTAAAACTGAGGGGAAAAAATCTACAAAATATTTAAAATCAATTGAAATCTGTACTTACTTTGGCAATAATTTTAACTGGTTTTCTCTAAGTTCCAGTATCTGGAGTTTAGTTAATCTGTAACAGAAAAGAAAAACATTAACACAATACACAGTATTTTGTGACAAGCAGTCTCAGTACTTGCTTATACTGCTAAGCTTCTCTTTTATAAAAATGGCTAAGTACAGAGAAATTTTTGTTCAAGAATACAAACATATTTTATCCAGAAATCAGTATGTTATTCTCTTCATCACTGGGGTTTGGTTTTCATGAAGTATCTGACAAACAGGTTGTCATCTGCTTTTCTGCACCCTCTTGAACATGATTTACTCCTGATTTATTCCAGATTTATTCCATATTATTATTATGTGTATACATAAATACACATAAAATGAAGAAAGGCAGGATTAGTAAACCGAAATTGAGGCAGTGAATTTCTAACACAGGCTTACATATTGAATGTTATCACATACTCTTACAAAAAGCCTCAGAAGAGCACCCAGTCTTCTATATGGTAAAAATGACCTTTAAATTCCTCTTGGATTTCCTTTTCCTTTCTCTTTCTAGTCAGTTGCTTAATTCATTTTGATATGTTCTATTAGATGGCAGTTTGACCTCCCTTTCGGAGATTTTTTGTGCAAGATAAAATAACCTCTATATCTCTGAACTTGACTGTTTATCCAAGATAAGTTCAAAGCAGCCTTGGCATTCAGGCAGTTCACAGTCTCCAACAGCATTCTGTTGATTAAGACAGAAGAAACAAGACTCCATCTTCATTAAATAAAACACAGTAAATGAATTTACATTAATTCAGAGAGGGTCATAAGGACAAAACCTTCCCGTGACCCACCTAGCAGCTCTCTGACACTGCAAAGATAGGGCAGTAAGCTGCACGACTCAGGAAGGAGCAGAGTGAACAGACCAGTCTTTCCTGAAGGTGCTCAGCTAAACATGTTGTAAGGAAACACACAAAAACTTTAATTCTTATTAAGTAATAAGAAACATATTTATGAATAGAAGATATGAATGAAGATAGAAAGCCTAAAAATATTTTCTCCCTCTCTCCTCTCCTTTATAGATGATTTCAAAAGTAGCGATGAGCTGCATCTATGAGCAACTTCACATTAACCTTGAGGCAGAGCCTCAACCCAGACCAGCACTGTGAGCAATAGCTGCCATCTGGTAAGAGCGGTTAGAGGGGAATCTTGCCTCCTTGTCTTTTCAAAAGAACAACCTACTAATGATGCCAAAAGAATAGCCTAATATCCTTGGCATGCCTTCCCCACTAGGACAGCTGTGAAACCAGCCCGCATCAAATTCAGCTCAGAGGAAGCTTCAGGGAACTGCAAGTGTCCAGCATTACAAAGCACTAATTCTGTCCCGATTTTGTACTTGTGTGCTAAAGGAAAAACCATGCTCTAACACATGACAACAAAATAGCCTATCTTCAAAGGAATGTCCTTGAACCAGTTATGCCTCTACTCCAGCACAAGGGGAAAATTGTCTCATATGAGACATCAAGGAGAAAAATGTCATCATCATCCAAATGTCCCATCAGCCCAGGCAAACTGGGATTATCGCAAATCTGTATTTCCCTGATCTCTTATCCCAATACTATGAAAATGACAGGTCCTTCTACTGGTCCATTGCATATCAGTACTTTCATTCATGACAATAAATGTCATACTGTTTGAAGTTTTGCTTATTAATAATCAATATAAAGGATTCTCAAAATACGACAGAGAATAACCTTCTGCACAAGGGAGGCACAGCAGTCCCTCTCTTGGGAGACTGCACATGTTGCACCTGATATTCCCAGCCATGAACTCCATGCAGCAAGAGCAGAACCGCAGCTCACCCTCTCCTTGGGTGTTACCACCGCAGAACGGGACTAGCCTTTGAAAAGGCCAAGTGCTTAGGAATACTGCAGGAGACACATGATTTCCCCACCGCCATACCAATCCTTCATGCACTCTGAAGAATTTATATTCTCTCACCCCCCCCCGCCCCCCAAAGTCTCCTGATGCAGCTTAACAGCTCCAAATACATCTCAGTTTTTAATAGATTTGCAGCAGGGCTGGTTTTAACAATGATCTAAAAATAAAGCTGCAAATACAGGCAACTCCAGAATCCTTTCTTCTGAGCAGTCTCCCAATCAAACACGGCACCAGGCCCCAGTTACCGAATTCCTTTGAGGACAAGCCAAGTAGCCAGGCACTGGCTGGTTTTCCTTTGCACCACACGTACGCAGTCAAACTGCAGCAGAGAGCAGTGAAAGGCGACCTCCAGTCACACACTGCACTGTATTAAAGCAAGTCCACACTTCCCTGGGTTTAGCCTGAGCCCACCGTACTGCACTCATGTAAGAAGCTACTTCTGCGCGTTTCAAGACTGGTGATAGAGTTTAGAAATCTTCACAGCTTTGTGGCATTGTTTCATGTTCTACTGTCTCATCCTAAAAGGACTGGAGATATAAATACCCAATTCCTCCCTGTGTGTAGGGCAAAAAGGTTACTAGGGAAACATTTTTAGCCTCTGCTGCCTGGAAGCTATAGGTTGCATCTCAGCTAGCAACTTTCTTGCAATATTTAACAAGAAGCTTTGGCCTGAAGCAGTTGCTGCTTCTTCCTTTATGTCTGGGAGGGTTAATTCAAGTTTAATATAGTAACAAACATCAAATGCTCAGCCCTGCTTCTAATGGCTCGTGCAAACATACCCATGCTTAGCATTTGTATCACTATAATGGAACTGAAAAAGCAGGTTTTAATTTGGGATAGAAACAGAGACAACTGGTCCACCAAAACTAAGGAAGATAAAATTCATAATGCTAATATTTACTTTACCATTTTATCAAATACTTGTAGGAAAATATTCCATTTCTCATTTGTAGAAACCTTTAACCACAGAAACGCCTACAAATCACCTTAAAACAAAGCTAAAGGCAGTGTTATCTAGGCATACTTGGTCTCAACAAAATTATTTCAGGATGGCTGTTTTAAGTAAGCAGCTTTTAAAAGATGACTGATTTATCCCTCCCTCAGCATCCCTCCAGCCCCTGCCACAGCCCTCTCCCCCCAAAAAAGAGCCACCAACAACTATATGAGTATCTTGCCCAGGGTACGTTCAATAATTTTCAGAAATCTCAATTCTTTTCCATCCAGCAGAATTGGACACATGTAACTAACTAGGCCCCCAATTGCATCATCATTGTTCATTTATGCAAAAATGAAAAATAGCCCAAATTAGAGACTAAAAATTTTCTTTGCTTATGTCCTACAAATTCTCAAAAAACAAGACTGCAAGTAAATTCACAGCAACAGCACAATAAGAAAAAGTCTCTGAAAGGAAAAGCAATTACCCCACTATTGACAACATTTTTCGAGTTTTTAAAAAGATGCCATGGGCTGAAAATAAGCTCCTTGCTTATTCATCAGTAAAAGTTAATCCTGCTGCTCTACTTCCCCTCCTTCTACAGCACACTACTTCTGTTGCTATAATCGATAAAAGAAAAAGTAATTGCTGTTCAAACCCTCTGTTCTTCACCAAAAGCACGAAGCAGGCGCCAGTATACCCTTCCCATCTCACATAAACAAAGGGCTCTACAAAAGCAATCAAAAAAAAGCTGCAGTTATGACAGCTGTGTAGACATGGCCAAGGATCATTGCTTTGCCAGGAAATCAGAGAACATTTTACAGGAAAGCCATAGTTTAGGCCATCCAGGTTATCTACTTATTCTGTTTAATGTAGCTATTGGCTCTTGTTTCCCACTGGGCAAACAAAAACTCTCAAAATATTATTCTCCCATATCTCAACATTAGCCTCAGGTGAGCTTCAAGCTTTGGAAGCTGCTTTCTCTGCATTTGTGTATTTGAATTTAACTGCGTATTAGATGCTTAGAAATAAACTGTGTATTATGCACTTAGAAATAACAGAAAGATTTTTTCTTAGGTAGCCACAACAGCCACAGATCTCCAACTTCAGTGCCCTGGCAGACTGGCTACCCCTGGGATCCTGGCCAGTCCTTAGGGATGCAAAGCAGAATTCGGGAGTGGAGGAAGCAGAGCTTCAGCCCCTCGGGACTGCAAAGGAACTGGCACATTTAATCATGAATCTGGGGATTTTTAACATGCCTAACAGGCTGGGCTAGTACATCACTGAAACACAGCAAATACATAATACCCATAGAAGGGGAGAAAAGATCAGATAATCTGAGGTCTTTAACCTAAGCTCCCTATTATGCAAAGCTCGAGCACAGATTTTGAAGGACAGAATCCAGCATGGCAGCAAACACATTCTGCCCACAGTAATTTGTGTAACACATATACCAGAGCAAACGCAGATGTATTTAACTACAAAACTGTAGGCTGGTATCACAGTCTGATCAACGTCCACACAAGAAAAGCACTCACTGTCAGAAGGGACTGAACTTCAACTGGAAAAAATAATGCGTAATACAATGTCAACTGCAGCAAGCATTAAATCACCATTTCCCCTTTTTTATATATATACTTATATATATACACACACACACACACGCGCGCGCGCATATGTTTACATATGTAAAAGCAAAAGGGGAATAGGGAATCACGATTAATTTTTACTCAGAGCCCTCTAAATTAAAGGCTTTTTTACCAAATGCCAAATATTACTCAGTTTCAATAATATGAAGCATATTTCTAATTGATTTATTCTTCACTTAACGACTTATTAATTAATGACTTCACCACTTGCTTAACCATTAATCAAGTTATAGTCCAGCAGAGGGGACACAGAAAAGGGCAGTTTTAAAGAAAAATGACAATCAAAGTGTGGGAGAATTTTTCTAAAACTATATTTAAGATTAACTTCTCATAAGGTCAACTGTGACAATCTTAAATCTTCATTCTTAGCTATTTTGTACTGAAAAACCCCTGTCCTCTTGGCTAGAAACAAGACAGAACAAGGCGTATACAATTATTAAAATGCCAAAGGATAAAAGACAAGTCTCCCAGATATTTTTTTCTGCCAAACCTCTGCAGCCCTCAGCCTAGAGGGTTCTCTGACCTCTGTAAGCAGAGCTGACCCAACTAACACACAGCCTAAGGCAACTGCTTTCACATGGCCATATGCCTGGTTCAGCAATGGCCGTATTGCCTAAAAGAAAGGCCTGTTGGACACAGGACAGCACGAGAGCTGCACACACTAGGAAAATGAGAGAAGAAAAAAAAAAAAACAGAAATAACAGTACAGGAGCACACAATGAACAATGCTCCTCTGAGTGTCCTTCCTTTTAGTTATATTTTTGCTTGCAAGATTAAATTCATTTTTTTGAAAGTAGGTGATTTAGTATGTGTCTCATTTAAACTGTCAGTTGCAATAATTTTACTTAGTCCTGCATACAATGGCTCTCAGGCAGATTCCTGACAGTGGAGGAATTGCAGATTTTCCCAAGAAATCTGCGCATCCCAGAAAGGACAAGCAGAATAACAGATGTCATTCTTAGCTCCTCTCAAGCTTCTAAAAGATGACCAAACTATTTCAGAAATATTTGTCTCCCATACCTGTACTTGAGCAGTAAATAAAGCAAGTATATAAATAAGTTTTACTTTTTGTCTCTTTATAAACATTGTATTTTCAAAAGTCCAATGATAGCAATGATTTTTTTTAAACTAATATATGAAATAAATGTTTAAATAACGTACACTTCATCCCCTTCCCTTGACCTCCCACTTTGCTTGCGAAGCAGCAGAAACTGCTCTGCATAATTTAAAAACAAATGTAGATCCAAGCCTCAAACTCATCTTACCTGCCAAAGTTGGCTGGCAAAAACTCAAGAAACGCATCATTCAGGTACAGCTGTGTTAGGTTTAACAGTTGGGAAAATCCATCGGGAAGCCTGTATAGAAAAAAAGCCATGTAGTCCTTTTGTTTCACTTATACTCAGCTCTTTGTCATCCTTTCTTAAGCAGCAGCAGAACATTGGACTGCACTTATATTAATAGCATTTACATTTAAAGTATTATGAGAAATTTTTAAAAAATGCATGAGCTGGTTTGCAGTAAGAATAGTTTCAAATTTATTCTTTAAATATTGAAGGCAATATCTATGGGCAATAGGAAGAGATATCATTTTGCTGCTTATTTATAATCTCTCTGACACCTAGCATGCAAGATTCACTCACTAGAGATGATTAAATAAAAACCTATACAATACTGCTTTTTACCCCCAAGGGAATTACATTTAAAGCAAATTTCTGTTTGCAAGTGCCACTTTGGCCAAGTTAATTTTGTCACCATAGAAAGTAACAGCAAATCTCTTCCTACAAGCTAGGTTTACAAACAGCTCTATGGGCTAAAGAATAAAAAAAAAAAGTGTATATATACACATATATATACACATGTGTATATATATATATCACACAGCCATACTGTGCCAGTGCAATGAGGTAAACACTTTTAACTCAAGCAAAATTACTCAGGTAACTCTGCTCCTCACCAACCAGCTCCACCGGCTGGCTCACAAAAAGTGGTATGGGACATGGTAGAGACTCAACAGTGTTTGGATAAAATATAAAATATTACAGAAATAAACAAACTTACTTTGAAATTGGATTTACACTGGCTTCGACAACTGTCAAGACTTTACAGTTCTTTATATTTTCTGGAAACTCCTGTATGCCTGTAAAAAAGAGACAAGAAAATAGTATTAAATAAGAGCTGCCTCACAAGATGCACAACATGATGCACATAAAACCACTAACTATAAAAGCTTAACAATCACAGAACTGAATCTTGGATGTTTAGAGTGATTTTTTAATAAAAACAAGCAAAAAATTAAAAAACCACCACACTTGGGCAGTTTCTTTATCATTCTATTCTTAAAGCATTTTAGACTGCTTCTTACCAGACAGAAAGCAACATTAGAGACACAATGTGCTTACAATTCCCTTCGTTCATTACCAAATATTAATAGTCTACCATTTTGCCAAGAAACCAGGGTTTTTTTTTAATATTAAAGTCTTTTGCATATATGGAACAAAGTTTCAAAGAGGATTTGTTAGGCACACGCATGGTTTATATGACTTCACCTCGTGAAGTAAATTTACAGCACTCAAAGGTTCTGAAGAGTTCTCCCAAAATGTGACACGTATTTGATATATTATTATCTTCAGACTATTTGTAGAGTAAGTAAAACGTGCTGCAGACACCTTTGTCAGAAGATCAAAACATTAAGAAATCTTTTTTTCTGAGGTTAGCTCCAGAAATGTCAGAGAGCAAATTTGCAACCCACATATCTGCCAAAATTCCTCTTTGTCAGGGGATGACAAAACACACTTTGAAAAAAGAAACTGAGCATCAGCTGCGCCAGTGGGAGACCAGCACCAAACCATTTTGCTGCAGAATTTCACCTTAGTCTCTCCTATCCCGTGAAAATCAAACAAAATGCTAAAATCACAACTACATTTCCATTTGCATTATACCACATTGTTGCTCTGCCCTAAAGCAGCTGCTTGCATTTTAAATGAACTTGTCCTAACACTCACACTGCAATGCTTCGGTATGGATTAAGAACACACATTCACCAATCACTACTTCTTAAAAAAGAAGACTATGCTAGTAAACAAAAGGTAGTGTAAAACAATGGCAGCAATTCTTCATTATCTATCTTGCAATTAAGAGATGTAATTTTATCTGCTTCTAAAATATTGAACAGGTGCATGGGTAGGGCAGCTTAAACCTATAGAGCAAGCTGGATATGAAGCAACTGCCCTTGGTGGATGCTCTTTTTATTCCAGGGCTAGTGACATTCCAGGCTCCTCGCAGCAACACTAACACTCTCATAGTGCACCTGCAGGGACAAGTACAAGGGCAGGGTCATCTGAAATTGACTGGTGCGAATCTGGGTCTCTCCTTGTGTATTTATCTGGGAACACCAAACTGGGAAAAAAATAGCAAAGCATCAAATGTAATGATTATACTAAAATAAAAAATATACCTATTTTCTTAGAGTAGCTTTTGATTCCTTTCATGTTTGTATAGTAAGAAAGTCGACCTTGTAGATAAGAGATCACGATACCACCTGACAAGAAAATTGGCCACAGAACACATACTTTTACCTTATATCAATTAATGATGTTGAAGAAAATCACTATGGTCATAAATTCTGTCTAAATACAAACACTGATTCTGCTAAGGCTGCCTTGAGAACTCGACCCCAATCTGTTTGTCACGCCAAAGGGCTCAAGCTCTTGCTTTTAACTCACACCAGGTGTTGTGCTCTGTTCTTTAGAGATGAAAGGCAAGAAAAACACTATGCCACACAGCTAATCCAGATGCTTAAGTATCATGGATCCTTTTGGGAAATAGCTCATTGAACTCGAGGACAATTAAGAATAGCAGGGAAGGGGCCAGCAGGAATTGAACTATCAGCTGTAACACAGGCCAAAACTGCTGTTTTCCTGGGGGGGGGGGGAGCGTGAACCTGTGTGTCAATAAACACTGAGCTTTAGCCCTGTGCATTTTACTCAGTGTGGAATCGGTGGTTCTTTAAATTGAATCCATTCACTGCCACTCTCTGATTTCAGAAAACAAATTTTACGAAGATTTGCGATATAATGAGGCTTTATTTCTGGGAAGCAGATGGGCTATCTCCAGCTTCAGGGATAGTGTGGAAGATTAGAAAGCTACATCAAAACACTGGAAATAATGTACATTGTCTGTTGCAGGTGAGGTTAGTGAGGAAGATGTGTTACACTTTTCCTCCCTGATGAATGAGGTCTACAGCCACCACACTGTGCGACCACTCCTGAGTTCTCTTGGAGGCAGAGTGGAAAAAAAAGTCCAAGTGAAAGAGGATCACAGCAGTGACTGTAAGTTGGTGTTTGCACGTCAGATACTCTGGTATAACATGTAAAAACTCATGTTTTTAATATTAATACCACACCCATTACTACATCAGGAATTTACTAATGCACAGAAGACTTAAACCTCTGATGAATGCCCAGAAAACAGAAACAAAGCTCTTCCACTAGAGAGGAAGAGAACATCAATATAAACTTGCTCTCAACATAAGCGCCAAATAAAATATTAGCTATCCAAACAGAGACACGTTAAATCAGCACGCCTTTGTACATAATCAGAAGACTCTACATAGCCGCTTGTTTGACTACGCCTTGGGCAAAAGGTAGCAAGAGTTTTAAAAACAAACTAACAACTGAAATTCAACTGATATGGGAAAGCCCAGTATGAAGTAACCCATGAATTATCCGTTGCTTTGTTCTTACAGCCAGGATTGTCACCATACACACATCTTACCAACCTCGTGTAACACCTAGGTATGCTGTTAAATAAATAGGAACTACCACTAAAAACAGCAGTAAATTGCAAATAACAGCAGGAAGCAAAATAGCCAGTGTTTACAGTATTCAAGAATATTTAGAAGACAGAAGAAAACTAAGAGACTGTTCCTCTCTATCAGGTAATAGGAAGTAGCATTCATGTGCTGCAAATCCTTCAAATCCTATGCTTTGATCCTACAAAGAGCTTCAGCATTCTCAAATGGATGAGGCCAACACCATAAATTCTGAAATCCAACTTGTTTTCTAAATTCTATTTTCCTCCAGCATCTTCTATCACTTACTTTATCTACCGATACTCTAGGATTACAGAAGAGGAATACACTACAGCAGTCAACATAGGGGTTATTCAGCCTGCTGCAGCCTTATCCCCTTCCCTTGAGAAGCACTGAATGGACATATGGATATGGATCTTCATCTTGCTGTTTCCTACTTTATAAAAAAACTCCTGCTGAAGTTGTTCAGTGCTGTAGTTGATTTACTATGAAGCTGCAAGATAGCTGCAGAAGAATTGGGCAATTGGGTAAAGAAGGGAAAACTAAATTACTGCCTGGGCTGAGCCGTAAGCAGAAATCATTCATCATTCATAAACTCCATTTGGCCAAACCTCCGCAGGGAGCACGGCCTACGGAGCGGGACGGGGAACCCAGCTCCCCGGAGCAGCTGCGGCGCATGCGCCGAGGCCTCGAGAAGGTCACACAGGGACTTGGGGTCACTGGCCTCCAGCCTGCAGATCATCCACCTCCCTTTGGCATCACGCAGCACGGCTGCAATGAGGGATTTCACCTGGTCGCTGTCTCCCCAGACAGCGATAACTGTTTTGGCACAGCTGACGAAGCAAACGTGAGCTACGCTTCCCCTCAGTGTTTGGGCTGGATTAAGGCAGTTGTAGGGGTAATTGGGGGCTCACCCACCATCTGGAGTTGCAGCCATCTCCTCCCTGGGACAGCAGATCCTGTTCTCTCCCCAAGGTGAGCATTACTTGCAGAGCTGGAGAGCAAACTGGAACCACCTTCTCTCTCCTCCAAGAAAAGACTTTGCTCTAATATCAGCAGCTCTGGATTTGCAGAAAATTGTGCAAATCAGATGCACTGCTGGCAGGGGCCTGTGCTGCGATGAATCGCAGGGCTGACGTGTGCTGTTGTTTCAGCTGTACTCGAGATAGGGGTTTGCTCGTGTTGTTCATCCTCCCGTCATCTACTCCTATCTTTCTTTGCAATCAGATGCTATAACTGGTATTCCTAAACTTCACCTATTCAAACTCTTTTATTGCTGGAGATTGCTAGCACTGGCAGTACCTCCCCATCAACTTTTACCTCTCTTCACAAAGGAATGTTCTAAAATAGAGGCTTGCCAAGACTTTTATTCACGTAATTCCTAAAAAGCGTAGGGGGAAAAAAAAAAAAAAAATCAGCAACAGATGAGACCTGTGAAAGCTATACGGGTAACACCCCAAAGCAAAGTGTTTACAGCTGAGCCTCTCGGTTTCTGGTGAGAAAAACCCGTGTTTTCTTCCTGCACACGACAGACAGACACAAACCAAAAGGGCCTCTTGCTGCAGGAACAAGCCCTCTCTGTGCTGCCAGCCCTAGCTGCAGCCTCCCGGGTGGGGATGACACTGACTCAGAGCTGCACGCTCAGCCTGCGGGACACAAAAGCAGCCCTAATTAAGGCACCTTCCTCCCCCGCTGCTCTAGTCACCCAGTTCTGGACTCCCGGGCAAGCAGCTGCCCATAAAGCACGATAAAGAGAGCAGCTTTGGTGTGTTCTCGCTCAGTCTCCTTCCATTAATCAAGAAAAAATATCTTCTGAGCTCAAGAAAATATGCTACAGTTGTCCATAGGGTAATGAAGGTTTTTGCAGAAGTTCAAAGTTGAAACCAAAAGCTTAATATACAGTACTGGTCATGATCTATATTCCTATATATTTACAGAGTTTGTTTTGAGATTTCTGCAAACTTTTCTGCATTTTTCATTATTCATAAAGCAAGCAGCATCTTAGATCCCAGTTAACTCACAGATTTCTATACTGATACCAGTGCTACAGAATCTATAGCTTTCTGTCTCTTACTAAAGCCGAAACAGCAGTCTTTGAGACCTGTGGAAGAAGCCTCCCTTTCTCAAGGTTTACAATTCAAATGCAGACCTGTCACAGATTTACACTATTAAGGTTATAGATTTAACAAAACAGAAAAAAATTATATGCCTTTCATTCTCTAGTCGTCTCCCCTGACACAGACACACTTTGTTTACACAGAATAGCTCCCTTATTTGAAAACTTTTTGCTTTTAATAAACAAACAAAAAAAACCTAAAAAGTTAAAA